GTTTAATGTGCCAATCAACAAGATCTTTTGCCTGTCACTTTGTCAAATGAATCATTTACGAGGTGCACAATTTTGCAATGCTCTCTTCTGCTGTGAATTAATTCCATTTAAATGTCATGGAAATTATCACCATAATTAGGCCGTCAGTAATTACCCGGAGACTCCACAGGCGCAGTGTCCAGTGAAGTATTTTACTGTAAACGACTACTTTACAAACTTCATGGTGTTAACCCGCAAAATCCAGACTTCAATAGCATTGACGGTGCTTTCAGGTAAGACTTGGAGGCGACTACATCCCAAACCAGGCATGAAGTAGCTGTCTGAGACAAATTAGGTGAATGTAGGAAGTGAATGGTTGAGAAATGCAGATAACGATATATCACAATTGCCTCAAGGTATAATTGAGCTGTGTAATTTATTCATAATTGCGTTTGAAGGATGCTTTTCTAAGAATGCAACCTCATTTTACCAGCTATTGAATTTGGACCCTACCTCACCCCAAAGTATGCATGGGAGAAAGAGATGATGGTTATTCAGCAATCCTGCATAGCCTCTGCCTTGTCGTATATGGGGCTGCATTAGAGGCCTAAGTGCCCAGGGATATTAAAGCAGGGCAAATTAGGCCACATTCTCACAGTCCTTCTCTTTGTTTGCTTTGACTCAAATTTGATCCTTTTATTTGAAACGAACAAGCCCTGATTTACTCAGCAACGCTGGCAGTGGAAAGGAGTTTATGGCTATTGGTCTCCCATAACTCCCCCATCAGTGCCCTAGCCCCTACGATATAACAATGAGGCATTTACATCTCTGTCTCAGTGGCCTCAATCTCCCCTCTGCTACCCACGTGGAATTGTTCGTCACTCATATTCAACGCCGTTCAATTCTGCACTTCACGTACTGTCCTCCACCTAAATTTTTAATGACACCATGCAAGTCTTCATCAAGGAGAATGCAAGGATTTGCTTTTCGTGAAGCGGTAATTTTGAGCACTTACATTAAACCATTCCCGAGATGTCCGTTCTCCTCCATCTGATGATGCAACAAAGTAAACGTAAATTTCTGCAACTGGGGATGACTGCACATAAGCCCAAATCTGGTTTATCAGCCGAGCATGGCACTTTGCGATATAAGGCATGAAGACAGCAAAAGAATGGCAGACAGCAGTGCGGGAAAGAGGAGCACACCAATATATTGACTTGCATCTGCGCTGCGGAATGCACCGGGCAGTCGAGCTGACTTTGCAAGTCCTTCGAAGCAACCACAAATCACTGCAGCTCCGCCGAAACCTAAAAATGAACCCACCTTGATTGCCTTTCTACTTTTAGAGAAAAATAATGCTCTGCAAAACTTATACAAAGCAGAGGATGCACCGAGAAATTTTGTCTAACTTCTGTTAAAAGTGTTTTAGAAATTCACTTTGGCCTCTGAATCCTCCGATGAGATCACGCAAGCGCTCGTAGCCAACGTATGAGCACCTCAATGCCTCATGGCAAAGGGCCGGTGAGCGATCGCGAGAGACGCGTGCTCATCCACTTATTTCTATCATTGCGCTTCACTTTCCCCACTCTGATCGCTGTCGCAAATATCTCGATGATGAGTAAACATGCCTTACCACATTAACCCCTTATTTAACTTGGCCATGCCTGACGTCAAATCGGCAGCAACGGGATAGAGCCCTTTCAATCACGAAGCAGTGAAGGTATCTCCAACCTCAAAATAACATATTACACTACATTTCATGGTTGTCACCTCCATCGTGGTACTTTCGTCACCTTTGTCGGAGGTGGGAAATTTACCAATATCAGCCCGAGTGTCAGTTGAGTGCATTTATTCATTTAAATGAGCGCAATAAGGATTTACTATGAGTACTGTCACATCATCAAAAATTTTCAGGGGTGATTCATTTGAGCACTTCGCCTGCGAACTTGATCCACCTCCCACCATTTTGTTATCTATGCTGATTGCATCAACAACCAAGGCCGTTGCACGAATTTAGGGACATTTGGGCGCTATGCTTGTGGTAATAAAAGCTGCTTAAGAGGTGAAATTTACCCCGTTTCACTTTCCTTGCCAAAAGTCGCCTTGAGGTGCTTAGAGAGACGTGAAGAGAGAGAGAGAATCCCTTGTGTTTATGATCTTAAAGGAAAGAAGAACGTAGAGGACTGCTCTTCGCACATAATGCACCCAA